GGAGCCCATGACTGCCTCCTGCCTTCCCATCAGCCTCCTGCACCAGGCAGAGTGACCGCAGGCCCGGAGCATTGGAGCACACGATCCAGGAAAAGGCCCCGACGCGTCTCCAGGGAGTCCCGGTGCGATCAGCCTCAGACGGCAGGAGATCCACCACCCGGGCTCCGCGGAGACGCCGGGCCCACGTCTGCCCATGTGTGAGCCCGTTCCTGTCCCAGGGAGCAGGCAGCCACCCGGGAGGCCCTTCCTGGGACCAGGACCAGAAGGCGGCCCCCTTCGAGCTACAGGAGCAAGGATGGTTCCAGAAACTCCCAACTCTACAGCAACCTCCTCCAGGGCTGAGGCCAGCTACCGCAACGCGCGGTGAACTGCGAGCGAGGACAGACAGCGCGGTCCAAGGGAGGGAGCGTCTAATTGGGGAGGTGAGAGAAGGGGAGGCACAGCCGTGGGAGGTGTGGCTGTGAGCACAGGGACAGCGTTCACAGGCCGCCCACCACCCAGCGCAGCCCACACGCCCACTCCCGGGAGCCACCGCCAATGCTGCAAACTCCTCCCGGGACCGGACGGGCCTGCAGGGACCCGGCCCCCACCTGGGCCCTGCACTGCCCCTCCCGTCCGTCCGTCCACGGCCACAACAGCCCCGACACACGTGAATCCGAATGAACAGAACGTCCACGTCTCTCCCTCCACGCCAAAACCCACAGCTCCCCCGCACACACGCCCGGCTCTGCACGGCTTCTCCGGCTGTTTCTTAGTTTCGCCACAGCCCCTCCGACCCTCTGCGAGGGCCCTGCAAGTCTCCCCGCATTGGAGGTTAGGGTTGGCCCCGTGACACACCAACCCAAGGCAGTGGGGTCTTGCAGGCCTGCGGGCACCACTTCCCGGGTGAGAAGGTCCACGCGGACTCCCTGACTCGCTGACTCACAGCCGTGGAATGAGGTGGGCAGGGCCCAGGGAAAAGGCAGGTCCCTACGGAGAGGTAGAGGTGCCCGCAGGCGCAGAACTTTCCCGACAAAAGCGTTTCCAGTGCACAAAGTGAGTGAGGAGTTGGCTCAGGGAGGAAGCAGCTCCCTGGGGGCGGGCGGGCGGAATGCGGCTGGAATAAAATAGGAAGACATGGCCAGGCGACCCCACACACAAGGAGCAAGAAGCAAGTCAGCCCGCTCCCTGCAGGGGACGAGACAAAGCGGAACAAGGTCTGTGCTAAGGTTTGTGCTTGCTGGGGAGTCGTGGGGCGGGGGGGTCCTGATACCACATAACACACGTGTGTTCCTGTTTACCAGGAACGGAAAAAAACACATTTTATTCCTTCACGCCCCCCACTCCCTTAAATTGAGGTATAATTGTAATATTGTACTATCTATAGTAATAAAAGCGTACTATGCTAATTAGACCGGATGTCCTTCCGGACAACCTTCCAGATGAAAGCCGGGCTGCGAGGGAAGCCCGGGTCCCAGGTGCCAGAATGAAGCCGGTGCCAGCAGCCGGGGGAAGGAAGGCCTGCTCCTGCACGAATTTCATGCATCGGGCCTCTAGTACTGTAATAAAATTGTAATAAATAGGATGTCCCAGAAAATGCTTACCCTACTTTGAGTAATTTTAAAGACGGTGTTTATTAAAATGCATTTCATTGTCAACATTGAGCTACCAGCTGTTGAAGTTGTATCTGCATTTTGGGGGGGACACCCTGCAGTGGGAAGTGCAAATTGTGACGATTTGCTATCCATATACATCCTGAAAAGACTCCTCCCCTCTTCAGTGAACACATCCATCACCCCCCGATATTTGCCTTGTTTGGGGGGCCAGGGAGAGGTGAGGCGAGCTCTCTATCAGCAAACTTCCCTCACCCAGCACAGCACCGCCCACTGGAATTGTTACACACAAGACCCTCTCCTCTGTGTCCTCAACCTGCATCTTCCATGTGGTTTGGGGAACGGCGGGGTGTAAACCAACTAACAAACCACGACAACGAAAACCCAACGAACCTCTGGCGATGGGACATCAAACTGCTTCCCCGCGGGCCTTCCCCTGACGTTGTTCCGATGGGCAGATGTGAGCTGGTCAGCGAGTCTGTTTTTCTGCGCAGTTTCTGTGAACAGGCCACCGGCCGCGCCCCAGCCCCCCCGAATCAATGTCAAACGCACACGTAACGAACGCCGTCCTGACGGGGTGCCAGTTCGCCGGCGTGCCCCGACGTGCGTGTGTCTCGGGCTGGCGGAACGCCCGAGTTCCAGGCGAGCGGCTAGTGTGCCCGGAGCCAGACGTTTGTTTCCATTCTCCGTTGGCATGGAGACCGGGAGGCAGGTGGCGAAAGAACGGGCAGAGAGGGACGGAGGCAAAGCCAGCGGTAGCCCCGCCAGCAACTGTCCGGGCGGCTGACGGCCGCACCGCCCTGGAAGGCACGGCTCCTCGCTTTGTTTGACGGAGAGAGTCCATGTCACAAAATGCACCGTTTTGAAGCGTGCCGTGCAGAGGCATCCCGTCCATTCATAAAGTCGTACAACCATCACCGCTACCTAGTCCCGGAGCACGTCCCTCACCCCCTAAAGAAACCCCAGCCCCACCAGCACACGAGACGGTGACCTCCCACACCCTCCCCCCGCGCCCCTGGCAATCCCTAACCTGCTTCCTGTCTCTGAGGGTTACCTGCCCTGGACCCGTCTTATCAATGAGATCACACACCCGCCCCCTTGCGTCCGGCTCCTCTCCCTCGCTCAGCATCGTGCTCTCAAGGTTCATCTGCCTGAAGCAGGTGTCAGGGCTCCGTTCCTGCTCGCGGCCGAGTAACAGTCCTCCGTGTGGACGGACCACCTCATGGAGTCGTCTGGGGGGAGACGGGGCTGTTTCCACCGTGTGGCTGTTGTGGATCATGCTGCATTAAACATGTGTGTACAAGGCGTGTGTGTGTGTGGTTTTTGTTTGTTTGTTTTTTTAAAAATATATTTTATTGATTTTTTACAGAGAGGAAGGGAGAGGGATAGAGAGTTAGAAACATCAGTGAGAGAGATACACCGATCGGCTGCCTCCTGTACACCCCCTACTGGATATGTGCCCGCAACCAAGGTACATGCCCTTGGCCGGAATCGAACCTGGGACCCTTCAGTCCACAGGCTGGCGCTCCATCCACTGAGCCGAACCGGTCAGGGTGAGGCATGTGTGTGTTTATCCCTCCTCATCCAAGGATATTTTTCCCATTGATTTTCAGAGAGTGGAAGGGAGGAGGAGAGAGAAAGAGGAACATGGATGTGACAGAGACACATCGACGGGTTGCCTCCCACACGCACCCGGACGGGGGCCAGGGATCGACCCTGCAACCCAGATAAGTGCCCTTGACCAGGAATGGAACCCAAGACCCTACGGTGCACCGGCCAGCACTCTAACCACTAAGCCCACCGGCCAGGGCTATGGACACGTGTTTTGTGCGGATGTGTCCATAGCCCTATTTTGGGGATAGACCTGGGCGTTCCTAATTTCTAAATAAAATAACAGACGAATAATACACCGGCATTTTTTTAAAAGATAAAAGGGTGCAGGGTAGCGTGGGCCTCTCCCGTCCCTGTTCCCCGTCACCCAGCTCCTCCCCCAGCGACAGTCCACACCCTGCTCTATTCTAGAGACAGCCTGCGGGGAGGCGGCCTGGCAACCGAGCGGCCAGAGCACGAGGCCTGGAGGTGGACAGCGTTGGACAGGTGCCGTGCCACCTCTAGGCTCTGTGGCCTCAAGCAAGGTCCCCGTGTGCCCATCCCTCTGGGACTCTGTTCCCTGTCCTGTCACAGGGCCCCGTCTCGCATACCTGCTCCACGAAGGGCCATGGAGAGCAAAGCCCACGAGCCAGTGGGAGTGAGCGCCGGCACCAGGCCCGGCACACAGCGAGCGCTCAATGGTTGCGGCTGCCTCTGCCCTCGGTTTCCCCCCTGGACAATGGAGGTGAGTGCCTCCCCCCCGCAGGTGCGGTGGAGAACACAGGAGACCCCTGGGTGACACCCCGAGTGCTACCACTTCTGAGCAGCTGGGAGGAAGGGGAAGGGCGGAGCCGAGACTCCGTGTCCCCATGGGGAGGCCAGGTCTCCGCACGCTGCCCGCAGCCTCCACCCCCCACGAGCATCGGGACCCCACACTGTGGGCTGGCGGCTGGGTTTCTTATTTCTTGTTCCTTTCCCGCCACCCCCACCCCTTCCAGATCCTTCTCTCTGCTTTCTCGACACTCTACACGGACTCCTTCCTTCTCTCTCTCTCTCTCTCTCTCTCTCTCTCTCTCTCTCTCTCAGGCCTGCGGAGGCAGCAGGAAACCCTGGAGACCAGAGCGAGAGGCCCCGAGTGAGGGGGGAAGCATTAGCCAGGCCATTAGCAGCTGTCAGAGCGATGTCTTCTCCCCTCGGTGGCTGGCGAGTGGCACAGCAGACCCGAGGGAGCAAACGGCCGGCCTCGGAGGGCCGGACGGGGAAGGCGCACGGGGCCACGCTCCCCTGTGTGTGCAGAAGTTCACGGGGAGACACCCCCCTCCCCCACGCACACATACACCTAACAAAACAGAGCAAGGCGCAGCCCTGTTAGCAGCAGTTGGTAGCATTATGTAAAACCCTAAGCACACAAAAATATCGTTTGGATGATAAAAAGTTAAATTTAGCTAAGTACAGAGTGACTAATGCTATGAGGGAGCGGCGGCCCCCCAACCCCAGTTGCCTGGAGCTCCTACAGCTGGCTTCCAGAAACTTCTGACAAGTAACGGGCCTGGTGCGGCGCAGAACAACAGGTTATGTAA